TAGTAGTATAGTAATAATATATATATATATATATATATATATATATATATATATATATACGTATCTATATCTATGTATCTGTGTAAATCAGCCTCTTCTTTTTTTTTTATTCTTATTGACTCTTTTTTATTTTTCCTGTTGTCGGGTGTTCGCAAAGACCCTCAATAGTTGCGATGAGATCGCCCACCTTTTCCTTTTGCTGGATGTTGTTTTGGGTTTGTTCACATCAAAAACGTGCTGTAACAATAAAATAAAATGAAAGCACAGCTCTGGGACGTCTGTCTGACCCCACACACTCACACAGCAGGCAACAACAAACTGATTCGCCATGAGTCCACATGTGTTCGGTGTTTTCGTCATGTATTTGTCAAAGCCCACGCTCTCGCAGTGACGCAGCAGCTCAAAAAGAATCCACACAAACAAAGACGTTAAGGGAGACAAGATAAATGACAAAATGCACACGCACATGCAGGAAACTCATACACAGCAAAAAGTAGTTAACCTGAGAGCACGGTTTCGTGCCCTTCTTTTACACCGCACTCACCTTTGCCGCACGCAGCATCCTGAAATCCAGGCGCCAGATGGCAATCGTAAAATCTCCACTGGCTGAAGCAAAAAGATACACAGAGTCTTCCTCTTGTTCGGTTTTGGCGTTTGCGGCACCACACCAACGTGGGCGCCGCACATCATACCCAAATGAGGCATGCTTTGCCAAGGACGCAGGAAACACAGCGATCTCATTGACAGTACCACTGTGAAATGTCAAGATGGATACAACACGGCCCGAACCCTCATCATACAGTCGCATCGTGCGATCCCATGACCCCACCACAGCCAAGTGGCGCTGCAGTGCCACGCTCCCTAAGCCCTTGCGTAGGGAGGCTTCCCATCGTATAGCAAGAGACATGGCATTGTCTGCCTCACTGAATGGAGTGTCAGGTCCCGTCCCTTTCTGGTTCAAGACAACATAGCAGTGGAGCTGTCCATCAGCTGAGGAAGAAAGAAGAGAGTCTCCAAACCACACACATGTTAGAGCCGTTTCTGGAAAGGCACGAATGATGGCAAGCCGCTCCCCACAAATGTTATTCAGCGTCACATGACCACTCTCAAACGCCACAGCGAGGTGAGTACCGTCCCTGAAGTTGATGCACATAATCATCCCACACCTCGTCCCCGCCCCCGATGCAGAAAATGATTTGAAGCAACTCACATGCAGATGCTGAGCACAATTTGTCGCATCCCTGTCAACTAAACCAATACTCCACAAACTGATAATTCCATCGTTATCGTGTGGAATCGCCAACTGCAGCTCCCTGCAAGATACAGCAACACAAGGCACGGTACAAAAGCCATGTTGTGGCACGTTGATAGTGTGCAACAACTCCACAGATGTCCCCTCTATTTTGGTAGAATCAAGTTCCTCAATGTCATCATCATCATCACAGCACAAAACGGCTCGCCAAACGTACACGTGTTGATTCCTGCATTGAGTGTAGAAGCAGACACTTTCCCCCTCCTCGCTTGCTGATGCGTTCATTGCCTGAAAAGTGAGGAACCCAACCTTTAGTACACTAGTGTTAGTAAAAAAAGCAGGCGTCGTACCTTGTTGGTTATTGGTATCCGCAGACGAAGAGACCCTGTTGACCGCGTGGAACGACAGCAAAGGTACGTGGAGCTCAAGATCCCACAACTTGACAACGCCATCACCATCTCCGCTCAACAAAAGCCGTGTAAACACCTGCTGTTCATCAATCGCACAGGTCATGACAGCGCTGCTATGTTGTTTAAGGACAAAAAGTGGTTGATGCGCCTTCTGACTGGACATCTTCGCTGACGTTTGCTGCCTAACACGCGTTCGTGAACAACAACACGACGGTCGAAAAACTTATATATATATATGTATAATGTGAGACAGACAGACAGACAGACAGCAACAGTGATTAAAAAAGCAATATATCATCTATATACATCCAGATGCGTAAAATACGTTCCTTTTTGCGTGTGAACAAGTAAAGGGGAATAGGAAAGAAAAGGAAAACGGGCTAAGGATAGGTGACTGCTATAAAAGCAAAATAATAATAATCGATAGGGACGCGTATGCAAAAGAAAAAAAAAAAGAACGCCAAGAGATATAAACATGAAGTGTTTTCATCGTTTATCATCCACTTGCACATGGAGCCCATAGCGGTTACTGGGTTCAAAGTTACCGGCTACTACTTCTGATGCATCCAAGACAAAAACTTTGTTTTCACGTTTCAAGCGCGTGATGATTGCGGCCTCGTTTCCGACTGCCGACTCATTGATCACCCACGCAAAAACATACGCCCAAAATGTTCGACTTTCAGCGTTGTCCGTTTGAACAACCCAACAGTCTTTTTGCGCTTGCTCTGTGGACAGCGCAATGGTGAACGACAGCTCCGCCTCCAGCTTCGATGAGGTGAGGGTCTCATCCGCCACCAAACGGATATCGTGCACTTCCGTCAACTTTGCGATGACATCTACGTTCGTCGATCCTACATTCTCCGCACTGCTCACATCGCGTGCGCAGAGCCTGTCAAGATCTCTTGTAAGAAAAAGATGCCGCACAGTGGGGATAACACTCCCAGGTGTCAGCATTACGGTGGTGACCCCGCGAATTGCACACGACAAAAAATACTTTGCTTGAAGCGCCGCTGAAGCATTCACAATATCAGGTGGCAGACGCGCACCTTCAATAGAAATCCATTGAGCTGCTTTGGGGACGAAAGAAGGGTGCGTGGAGTGGCTCCTCTTACCACCTGGAGAAAAATCCAAAAACGATTTCTGGCGTTCCAAAACAATTCGCCGCACCCTTGTCTGCAGCTGCTGGGCTTCTGCTACATATTCTGGATCCGTTCGAACAACGTCATGCGACAGATTTATTTGATCCGGCGCTCTTTGTTGCTTGTGGTGTTTCACATATTGTAGCGCTTCATCAACCATCTTCTCAAGGAACTGACTCAGTGACCCTTCCACAGTACTGGGGGAACTCTTCGCCACCGCATGTCGCAGTGGTACACGGGCTCGTGTGGCATGTTCGCTCAGGAAGAGAGACTTCTGGTAAATGAATTCCTGCAAATTCCCTCGCGAACGATGTGCCGTTTGTTGAACTGTCTCCTCCCTTTTCTTGTCGTCAGGAGAAAAATCAGAGAGGCTCCGCATCTCATCAATGACTAAGTCAGGATTTTCCTCTGGAATTGGCTTAAACATTAGTTCGGTGGACTCTTTTGGCATCACTGTTTCGTCCTCTTCGTTGTCCGTCAAATCGGAGTAGCCATTCATACTTGCAAAAGAGATATATACCTCGGGCACCTCACCAATACTTTTAGCAGTCTCTTTAACGCACTGAAGAAGCTCTGACTCCATTTTCTGGCTACTGCGTAGCAAGGAAACCAGATGTTCAAGAGTTAAAAAAGCAGTTTGTCGTTCGTTTGTATCTTCACCTGGGGCACCTGTGATCGCATCAAGTTCTCCCTTTGCAGTTTCGATTTTTTGCCTTACTTCTGTGAGAGGACTTCCAGTACGCACCTCTGTTTCCTGCTGTAGCTCGGCACATTGCCGATACAAACGATTCCACACGATAAGATAGTTTTGAAGCCACTGTCTTTTATGGGAATGCACCAACAACGGCGTTACACCTTGACACCGTGATGTCCGCATTTGTTCATTCATGAAATGCATCATCTGTTGATCGGCGCTTTTCAAAGCTCGTTCGTACGCCAGAGACGCCAACTCATTTTCCGAAGATTCAATCGCATTGTTGTTTGCCCTCTCTGTCTCGCTTTGAAGGTCTCGGCACTGAAGCTGAAGCTTTTGAGTATACTCCTGCATTTCATTCAGGCACATCTCCAATGCATTCACGTCATCCTGCAATGGCAATAGATCTAGCTTCTCCGTCACAGTTGACTGTGATGATTCTGCTTCTATTTCATTACGCGCCTCCATCAGCTGTCGAAGATAATCATCTTCCTCCCGAATACGATTCCTAAACGCCTGCTCATCTGCAGCTTGACATTCAAGCATCCACTTCACCTGCTGTTGTACATGGCGAAGTTCCCTTTGCACAGTATGTAATCGTTCTTGTCGATTTTTCATAAGAGTTTGAATGGACTCCAGTTGTTTTTCACCCTCCTCAATTTCATTTTTAAGACCGCGGATGCGAGACCTGGCTTCAACACACTTGGACCGCATATCACCCCACTGAAATGCATGCTCGCTCACCTGACGCAATTCCCGCCATTGCGCTGAAAGAGTGTCTAACTCCCCAGTAAGACTTGTCAATTCCGACTCAAGGTGTTGTTTTTCGGATAAAAGTTGGGCGCGACAGGAACGCTCATGGCATTCCACTTCCACAGTTATATTTGTTTGCAGCATATGGATGCGTTTTTGCTGCCGCTCTATGATGTCTTCTAGCTCCTTCGTTTGCTCTCCGAAAATCCCTTTTTCGTCCTTGCATGATTGCCGTTTCTCAACCACAATTTTATCCCCTCTGAGCTCTGAAACCACAGAGATTAACGATTGTGGCAGGCTAAAAGACATTAGAGCATAAACCAACTAGGCACATTAAAAACAAAACAAAAACGACAACAAATAAGACACTCTCTGATACATATACTAGGCTGCTCTCTAACAAAGAAAGCAGAGAAAACATCGAACCACGCGTGGCCCAGCAGACGAAAGCATGCAAAGAAAAAAAAAACGCATGATTATTTTCTCACAAGAAGAAAGCAAAAGAAAAAACAACAATAATAAGAGGGAGATATGACTTTTGGAAGGTTACTCCACAGTTTTCCATCTCCTTTTCTTCTTTCTGAACCAAAAAGCATAACAAACGACGACGCCCAAGTACATATTCCAAAACCAGAAAGGAGGAAAACGCTTCTCTTGGTACGTTTTGATTTACATTCAATTTGCTATACATGTGCTTCACTTTTTTTTTTGTCCGTCCCCCGGTGTTTTTTTTTTAAAATAAAAAGTACATCAACATTGAACATATATATATTTATACTTTTTCATCACCTTTTCCAGAGGCAGAAACTCATATTCATACATCGTGGACAGTCCATGAAGAAGAAAAAGGACAGGATAAAGCAAGCCGTTTCTTATATATAATACTACTATTTTTTTCTCCATCAGCTCTTAAGAAGAAGAGGTTTGTTAGCATCTGCGTATAGACAAAGAGCGTCTTGTCCCACCTTTTCCTCTTGAGCAATGGCATAATCTGTGCTTTTAAATTGTGTGTGGTCGTCAATGTTGGCCAAGTCCATTCCCCGCATATTAATTCTCTCCTTGAGTGGAGTTTCATTAACATGAAGAAGACCCAAAAGCTCTTCCCATATCTGTTCGGGCACGTCGGAACCCTCCAGAAAAAGAGTATGAAGTTGATGATTGACTTTCAACGCATTATACAAAGCCTCGCCACCAGCGTTCCCGATTGGATTGTAATCCAAGTAGAGAGCTTCAATCTTTTGATTGCGCCGGAGTACATCCGCAATCATCTCACATCCAAGGTCCGTTATCTGGTTCAATCCAAGATCAACGGCACGTAATGTGGTGGATGTTGCCATAACATCACTCAAAAGACGCACATCATTGTCATTAAGCTTGTAGACCTCATCTTGTCCATTCAGGTTAATCATTTCATCACGGAATTCGCCTCTTCTGAATTGATGAAGTATCTTTTTCAATTTAATTGAACCTGCATTTAGCGACAACAACTCATTGATTGCATTTACAGTTTCTTCGGGGATGTCATTACCTTGTACATTGAGTGAAAGAATATGGTCATTCTCTTGTAAGCATAGCACAAGCTCCCTTCCCCCTTCAAGACCAACACAATTATGTGAGAGATTCACGTGCAATATCGTTGGGGATCGAGAGAGAGCTTCCACAAGGAACGGCATACTTTCGCATGTCAACTTATTATGTGATAAATCAAGTGAAACAACGTGGTTATTTTTCACTAACGAGGCACTGAGAAGTTGACAAGCTGAATCTGTAAAAAGAACTTGAGAATCCCTTAATACGACCTCTGGAATATTTTCATTGGCATCAATACTTGTCAACAGAGGTTTCAGTGACCTTGGCTGACAGTTCACCATAAGCTCATGATTCATTGCACAAAAAGCATCCGCGGAAACCCTTTCGGGAGTAAACACTTGTTGAAGTGAAGTGTTTACCTTCAATACCTCAACCAGAGCAGTAACTCCAGCAGACGTCACTTCAGTTCCAACAAGCATAAGTGTATCCAATTTGATGTGTGGAGATAAAAAAGCCATTGATAATTCCTGGAGACCCTCCTCATCCACAGGATTATAAGACAAATCCAGCGAAAGAATACCGCAACCTTCTTGTGCAAGAAGCGCAGCAAGGTGTTGACACCCTTTCGTTCCAATTTTATTGCCTTGAAAAAACAAACCTTCCACAAATGATCTTCCTTGTAAATGAATACAAAGTGTTTCAATGGAAGTATCATCCAACGGACGCGAACAATTTTCCCGTCGAAGATCCACATTGCGTAAGGCTTCATCTCCAGCTTGTAGTCTGTACACTGTATCTTTAAGACATTTCGGCTCCTTGTTGAGGTCTACCGCTTCAACCACCTTGGAGCGCATATCTGTAGTAACTCCTGTTTTATCCAATGCAACCCGGATCAAGCGACCATTGTACCTCAACATGTCAGGAAACTCATCCACTCCTTCATCCGTAATCGCGTTGTTTGAGAGATCTAGGTCCTGAAGAGACGCATTCGTACGAAGAGCAGCACAAAGACGCTTAACACCACGATTGGATATAGAATTATCTGAAATGTTCAAATGGGTGATAACAGAGTTAGTCATCAGCATTTCAGCTATAAAGCCTACCCCTGTATCAGCAACCACATTTTTGGATAAATCCAAAATAGTCACCTTCGTATTTAATACCAATGCTTGACAAAGCAGCTTCACCGAGACATCATTGTAATATCCTTCATCTGATCCCCCTGACAACGATATTGATGTCAAACTGGGTTCATTTGCCTCAATCTTGGCAACAAGCTTCCGAATGATTTTGGGTGACTGATTAATAAGAAGTAAACTTTCCACTTCATTTAGGTAATCAAAACCAATATAGTTATTGGTAATATTGACACGCTTTATCTTGTCATTGATTCGAAGTGTATTCAAAAGTAAAAGAGCTGCTTCGTCATTAATTCCATTCCCTGCCAGATTAATTTCCTCCAAAGACGGGTGCCGTACAATACACTGAAAAAGCTTAATGGCCCCCTCAGAATTGATACCATTGTTGGCAATTGCGATGATCCGAATAGTAGAATTGGTTCTAAGTGCCTCCGCTAAAAGTTCCACACCTTTATCACCAAAGCCACAGTTCCCCAAATTCAACTCCAACAAATGTGTATTGTCCCTTAAGACAGGTGAAATAAAATATGCCGCTCTTTCCAAGCCTTCTTCCCACTGAAGATTGATTACTGTACATGATGGATTATTGGTCCGTATTGCAACCACTGCCTCCTTCAAGGAATGAGGCTGTTTGTTAAGCTCACATTCATGATCAATAATGGACCGTATTTTGGGTGTCACAGAGGTTTCGTGAAGATCAAAAAATGTGATCTTGTCATTCTTTTCAAAAAGTATTTTCGGCAAGGCTTGTGCGGCATAATTACCGATGCGAATATTTTGAGCAAAAGACAGTGACAAAATTGTTGGATGTTGCTGAAGATTGGCGGATTCAATAAACTGTGAAAGTCCCGCATCAGATATACCATTGTCACTCAAATCCACATGTGTCACAGAACACTGCTTGATCAATGCCCCAATCGCCCCAGCTCCAGCGTCCCCCAATGAACACCCAGAAAAAATTAGCTTTTTCAAACCATTCACGTTCTGTACATAAAAACTTACCAGGCGAGGGTCCAATTTGTTGTAGTTCATGCCAGATATATTTAGTTCATTCGCTTCACGCGTAAGCAAGCCCTTTCGAATATCTTCTGAAAATGTTCTGCCCTGAGTCAAGAGCGCCAAGTTATGGATATATGTTCTTGAACACGGATTCCCATCGAGGTCAAAGAAACTGGGGTAATCAGGAGCATCAAAAAGCTTAATAAATGCCTTCGCCCCGACGTCGCAAATTTTGTTGTTCGCAAGTTCCACCTCCTTTACCTTGGGTGAATTTTGAAGAAAAGCGGCCAGTAACTTGGCCCCTTCCGAAGTTATTTCATTACGCGAAAGATTGATGTTTTCAACAGGAACAGGAGAAATCTCCATTGCATCAATAAGAACCTTAAGTTGTTCATCCCCCATTTGCTCGCTACACCACTGCACAGTTTTGGTGCCTGTTCTTGAAATAAGACGCAAGAGATCCTCAAAAGATGACATTTCGATTCCGTCCTTTGTCAAAAATAATCTGTATCCCTCCCCTTTGTAG